GAGACTCTTCTAGATCACAACGATGGCAGATACAATCTGAAAATAGTAGCGACGCACACAAAATTACACAGGACAAACCTACACGCGGGAGTTTCCAAAGCTTTGACTGGATGGAGAGAGGACCAGAAGACAAAGCGCAAAGAGATCTTTGCCTCGGGAAAATAAAATTTGGTGTCCAGCTTCTGGTGAATTGCTCCTGTTTGCATCGCTGCGTAAAGCATCAGAAATCCCACCAGCAATTCCCAGTACCCGTTTATCTGGAAAATGAGCATGGAAAAGAGCGGCCGACTGACCAGGAATCCTGCACCGCAGCCCCCTCCTGAAGAACACAAACCCCGAGGGGCTGCTCTTTTATCTTGTTTAAGTATTTGTAAACACTCCGGGTAGGGTTTTGTGGCATCATCTGAAATGATACAGGAATGTTTTGTCATCTGAAACGTAGTTTTACTTCTTTGTGCTGCAAAATGATACACAATTAGCTTATAGGAGGTAGATGTTTGAGAATAGCTAATGCCCAGTCGTGCTCTGCATAATGGATTTGGTGAAAGAACAATAAATGTGTGGACTTAAACAGAATATAGACAGCTAATTATCTCTGAGGTTAAATGTTCAGTTCATTCCTGAGGAAATACTGAAAAAAAAAACCCCAACCCAAACCCCAAGAGTGATATTAAGAAACTATTTTTTTTTTTTAAATCCTAAAATGGTTCTTTGTATCGTACAATTTTTACGATCCTTCATCCAGTACCACGAAAGGACTTGTCTGGGATAGAAAAAGCGGCTGCTTTGTGCAGGGATTTGGCCGTTCCCAGACCTGCGCTCGGAGAGGCGAGGAGGCCACGCTCCTCCTTCCCCGTGTGCTCTCACCGAGCCATCGTTCGGTGGAAGGAGCTTCTGAAAACTGATTGTCTCGATTGGAGGGAGGGAAAAAAAAGGAAAAAAACCCGAACCAGGTTACAGTCGGGCTCGCACTGTGCTCGTTGCTGACCGGTTTGCTTCCTTCCTTTGAGATGCGGGGTAATAAATCTGCCAGATTTTGATTAAAACCTTGGCCTCATGTGTTTTGTGGTCCATTTCAGGGCAAAAAAAGTTAGTTCTTCCAGCGGAACCGACTGAGGCATCTGTTGAATGTGAGAGATGAACAGGATTATTTTGGTCTGCTATGACTTAACAGGTATTTGCCGGAAAAAAAACCCCAAAAACCCAACCCAAGTCTCAGGGTTTCAGCGCTGCATAAATTCCCCAGGATTCAGCAGAGGTCGTTTAAACGTGCTCCTCCAAGTTGTGTTCTGTGAGAAGTTCCTGAATTTCTAGTGTAATTGTCACTTCCCCCGCCCCAGGACACACTGTAAAACTGAGTTAATTCCTGTCTTGTGTGAGCGCGTTAGAGGGGGCTTTGGTGCTGTAGGTAAACACCTGGGTCCTCCGAGGTGCTGGAGTCTTGGAAAATAGATTTTTGTTTGAGAATGATTATAAATTACAAACAGGACAATTTATTCCACTGAAATGCTGTTGTGTGTACTCACAGAGACGACTCTTCCGTGCTTGATCAACAAGATTAAAATAGGTTGGTAAGGGACTACTTAACTCAAAAGCCAATTAGCCAGATGCTACTGTACAGTGTGAATTATGCTCCAGGCGGGGGCGACGTCGGGCGGCACCCCGCCGTGCCGCCTGCCCAAGATCCCAAAACAACCGTGGTAAAAACCCTCCCAGGAAGCACACTTCTCTATTCTTCAGAACTCCAGATTTCTCAGCAAAAGCATCTTTCATAGACTAATAAAAAAATCCAGACAAATTTCTCCCTGTTTATCTTCTTTTCCTTCAAACAGGGAGCTATCGAGTTCCAAAAGTTTACTGAAATAATCCGTCTAGACGGAGCAAGAATAGCACGGCAAGCTAGCGCCACGGGCGGGGGATTTAGAAGTCGCTTCTTTTTTGACTTGCTGTCTGTAAAATTTCCACTGCTTTCCTTCTTTCTAAATGAGAAATCAGGGATATGCTGTTATTTGTGCATTTAACAATCATCTACATTTGCAGTGTGTATTTGGAAAAGTTTTATGTTGTCAGCTCTGGGAGGAGTTTGGTTGCTCTGTCCCTAACAGGAGGGAGTTGGGTTTCTGCAGGTTATATTGCTCCCCCGTCAATTCTGTTGCAACTACAATATTTTATTTTAATCCTGCAGGTAGATTTCTTGACATTTTTGTATCGATGCTTTACTGTTTCTATAGACACATACGGTGCGCTATATAAGCCTTATATCGCCTTTATCGGAAGGACCTCGCTGCCTGTATCGAGTTTATTTGAACTCGCATTAACCTTTGCTATTTTACTGGTCTTGAAACTTCCACTTGGGTTTTAAAAACGCTCGTGTGTTTTACGGTCCTTTGATCCGTTTAAGGTTCCCAGCTAATAGTCACGTTTAAATTTCCAGCTGATCTGCTGGAGAGACGCCGAGTTAAAGGCAGGTCACGCTGCACCCTGAACCCCGATTCTGACATGAGCCGGAGCTGGTTTTGACTGTCCGGCTCGAGATTGTTACCCCGGGGTATATCGGCTGAAATATTAATTGCATCATCAAGGAGTAAAGATTTGCCATTTTATACTCATCAGATGTATCAGTGGGGTTTTGTTTCTAGCCCGTTATCTTATTATTTTTGTGCTTGCGTTCTGATTTTGGCTGAAATAGAGTTTTCTTTCTAGTAGCTGGTATAGCGCTGTGTTTTGGATTTAGTGATGTTTAGCTTGCCAAAGAGTAATTCAGAACCTGCTGTATGTTGTTTGTTTTCCCCCCAAGACTTAATTACTGTTTATTTTTCCCCTTTGAAGTGGGTAAAACTGTATTTCTTGGGTGATAAGGTGTAGTGTTTTTTGAGATTTCCCGATAACTTCTTTACTGGCAACTTTTGTTTTTTACAGCTTGTTTCCAGACTTTGTCTGAATGAAGTGTTCTTGCGGTTATTTGCTTTTTGGGGATGTACATGCAGTTTTTAAGTGTTCCTTTGTTTCGTGAATTAAGTTTGAGACAACCTGAGGGAGTTCGCCTAAAGTGCTGTCAAGCGCGATGTTCCAGGCTTTTGTCAATACCTGTGTATTTCCACGCTCCCTTTGGATTAAAGCATGCTTGTCTTTATTTAAAAAATGAAATTACAAAGACAACTCTAAAGCACGTTTGTGGGTTTTCTTGTTTGTTTGTAAAACTCTGAGCAATCTATACTGAATGCATTTAGCTCAGGTATCATAGGTCAGTGTGTGACCGCTTTCCATCTCTGCAAACCGACGTTATCTTAAAATCACAGGAGGTACCGGAGGTTCCCAGCAGCTGGATGGCTGCGCTGTCTGCAGAGCGTTTCCTGGTCGTGGACACAAAGCAGTCAGGCAGGGAAGTGAAACTTGGGTGTAATCGTGCAAACCAAAGCACATCGGCCGCGCTAGCACGGCCGGCAGAGCTCGGAGCTCGCCCTGCCGGCAGTCTCCAGGCATCCAGCTCGGGGGCTGCTCGCATCCCGATGCAGCAGCCTAATCCTCGGCTAAATTCTCCGGCTTCTGTATTTTTGAGCAGGGTTTCAAACGCCACAATTTTTATGAGGTGGTATTTAGCGCCTTGAGGCAGCAAAACGAATGAAGGCATTTAATTTGGAGAGCTGAAGGCGGCAAGGCAGGAGTTTGTAACTACCTCTCATTTTGGGACTCTGTTTGCAGGTAAAAAAATCTCTTTTGCACAGTCTTTTTTGCGCAGATGGCGAGCGTTGACTCTGTCTCAGATTTCGATTGCTGGGGTCACTGGTTAGAAATAAGTTTTGAACTCGCGTGTAGCTAAAAAAGGAAAATTCTAATGATAGGAAACATCTATTTTTAACTCAAAATAGACTCGTTAGGACCCTGTTGATAAACTCTGGGGCAGCGTCCACGTTCTTGTGTTGCAGGAGCATTGCTGCATTCCTCAGACTTGTAAACCATAGCCCTAAAAAATAATCCTGATCGGGGTGGACGGGAGTTGAACTTCTAATTATTTCTGGAGCAAATTAGATGCGTGTTTCTCAAGGCTGTCATTTCATTTTCATGAGCTTGTGGGTTTTGCTAAAATGTACGAGGTCTCCTGATATTTACTAAGGTATTTTGCATTACCGGCATTTTACGTATTGAAATGGCAATTTTTGTGTTTCTCCCGCTCCATTGTGAATACGGCTTTGAGGTTTTGTAATGGGGGGCCAGATCCTTCCTTGGGGTGAGGCGGGTTTGCCGTGGCAGAGAGGTCTCCATTGTTTCCTTACCTTGTGTATCCTGTTGTTCTTTGTTTAACCTGTCATCGTACTTGATGTGGTGCCTGCCTCCCCTGCTTTCGCTGGCTCCTTAAGTCAGGAGTGCCGGGAGCACGAGGAAAATACACGGATGTAAAATACACGGAGCTGCCCGGGTTCTAAACCTCCCTGGTTCTACCTCTTGCATGCTTAAGTGACAGTATCCTACAGCAGCTTTGAATCAAGCCTGTTGAACTGTACCGAGTCTGTAGGGATCTTGTTGCTTTGTATTTAAGGTAGCTTTTATTCTGGCTAGTTGTTTAAAGAAAATACGAATTTTACTCTTAAAAAGCATGAGCAAGACAGCTCCGACAAGCTGGGAGGCTCAGGGTATGCCTTGGATAGCACGGTAGCAATTTTCTTATTTCCTTTCTCTTTTTTTTTTTTCTTTCTTTCTTTTTCAGAACCCGAAAAGACTGATACCAACTGCTGCAGTCAGGCTTCGTGACAAGAAGTTGCTTTTCAGAGGAAGGAGCTGTAGTGCTCTGCTGGCCTGTCAGCAGATTTCTGACAACTCCAGACCCCGTTTGCCCTCGCAGCTGGGATTTTGCCATCCCAAACCAGATATCTGCCGTTTCTCGCGCCGATCCAAGGCGGTGTGTGAATTGCAACTGCCAGCTACGTTGCTCAAGGGCGAGGACTCTAGGTTCTTTATTTCCCCCCTCCTCTGCAGCTGGACGTTAGAGCAAACACGCTGAGATGTCTAAAAAGCAAAATACAAAAGGTAAGATGCATGTGTGATATAATCAAATGCCAATAAACGGCACTATCGATTCCAAAGGTATCAGTTAGGAAAGGGGTTAATTGCTTTTGCTGTGCTCCTTTCAAGGCTGCTGATGTCACTTGACAGCTTATTGTCACTGTCTTAGTGACATTGTATAACCTGTTGGGTTTTGTGACATTTTTCACAGCATTTCAGTTGTCCAGCTGGACAGTTCTGATTTCAGGAGTTCCTGTATAATGTTACTATTGCATCACTTTCACGGTCAGACAATGGGGAAATAAAAAAAAAATTGTTTCATAGTTGAAGAGTTATGGAGCCAAACTTTTTTATTTTACTGGGCTCCCCCACCACTTCCCCTCACTGGGTATGGCCAGGATGAATTTGAGTGGTGTCTGGGTCTCTGATGGAATTAACTCCACCAAAACTTAGACCTTGCCCACCCTCCGAGTGCCCCGTGGACGCCGGGGTTTCAGATTAGGCTTCTCTCTTGGACTTCCTTGTGCCATCTGTGGCAACTGCTTGCCAGGACTCTGGTTAAGAAACAAGCCATCGAATCGAGGTGGGATTGCTCAGCTCAGGTCCTCGCCTCTTGGGGACGTGATTCAAACTAGACCTGTTTAAATCTTTTTTTTTTTTTTTTCCCTTGGCGATAGGTACAGAAGGGCAACGAGCAAGTTTGTGAGAAGCTTTTTCCCTTGCTTTGTCTTCAAACGCGCAGGCTGGTTTTCCTTTTTCTGCCATCGCATGTTAAGTGGCAAAGCTGTTCTTGCGTCAAGCAGCTTATTTCAGTGAGGGATCTTATTTGTCGCGTGTGAAACATTAATTCCAAAATGTGTGTGTGGTGGGGGGAGAAGGGGGATTGAGGGTTACGGTTCTCTTTTTATTTGAACTGACTACTAATTAATAATTTAAGGCGAATGGGTTTGACAATTCATGTCCTCTACCTCGAGAGAAGAGCTTTTGTTCTCTGTAGATTTTTTTATTTTTTTTTCCTAGCAGCTTTGGCATAGAAACAGCGTCTACCTGAGGAGCCCAGCCGTCCTTTGACAGCTAGATCCATCCATGATTCAAAGCAATTAGTAACAGTTATGGAAATTATTGTATAGGATAATTTTTGAGTGATTTTTAAAATGCTGTGTTTGTATCTCTGCTCTTGGAAGCCTCAGTACAAGTCGTTAAAAAACACACGAGCAGAAGAGAATTAATGGGTTGAGGTAGGGGAACGGCACGAGAAACCTGTAGGAGACAACTGAGGGGAAAACACGGGAAGCTGTTACTCTGAGGGAATTCAGGGGTTTGGCAAATCCCCAGCCGAACGAGAAAGCCGGCACGACCGCTGCTCTCGGTGTTGTTCGGCAGAGAGAACCCGCTGGGAAGTGCTGGCATGTATTGGGTTCCTAAAGAAAAGTAAAGGGAGCTTGGACATATTTTTTAGAGTAGGCTTTAATTCCCTCCGCCACCAGGGATATAAAATACGCCCTGCTTTGTTAAGCAGGCTCATCTCCAGTCCGCGTTGCAGTGGCAATGTGGACATAAGGGAAGGGGAGAGTTAAAGCTGCAGACTCCTCTGGCTGTGCCCTGTCCTGTTTGGACTGTGATTGAATTTTCAATTACTACTTTTCTGCTGCTCTAGAATGTTAATGTAGTCAACAAATATTTTCCAGTCCTCTGTAAAGGAGTGTACCTTGGCCAGGTAAGGAATGTCTTTTTGGTTTCTCTTTCTTTCTGAAAGCAAAACAAAACCCCGTTGAGGGCTGATGAGAAGTGTCGAGAGATAGGGAATGAGGCAGACCTATTTTTAATAATTTTAATAATTCTGAAACCGAATGAGAAGCTCACCTGTTTCTTCCTCTTCGAAGTGCCACAGAACAGAGCGAACATCTGAGCTATTCAGAAGGGTATTTTTAAGTCTTGCGAAAATGTATATGCAAAGTTTGGTCACAGAATCATGTTCTACTCCTGATTATTAGTGGTCGTAAGTAACTCTTTACTCGAAAAATCTATGCTGAGAAGAAAACCGCTCAGTCTCTAAACCAGTTGTGTAATCATCCCCATTCAAAATCCGAATGCGTCCATCCAGGTGTAGGTCAGTGTCTGGGTTACATTCCTGCTTTTGTATATACTGTAAGGGATAATTTAGAAATTTGAAGGAAGGCTAGTCTCAGTGATGCCAGATCTCTAAATAAATACTTTTCCAGAGTCCGGTAGGTCTGTTGGTCTGTGGCTGTGTGAAGTGATCTTGGATTTTTTGTGCTTCTATGTTTTCCCCCAACACGAAGAGTGTGCACTCCCTCTCATCCCCTCTCCTGACTCGATTAATTGATTTGAGTGAAAGCAGCCACCAGGCTCAGGAATGACTGGTGACCCCAGGATACAAAGCAATCTCATAAATCTTGTTTCCATCGGACATCAGCCAGGGTTTTAGGCATGCCAGGTTCCTGAATAAAACAGCACTCGGGCTCCTATTCATACGGGTACATCAAGGAACCGTTTCACTTGATGGAAAACTGCCCTACATGAATTTGGTAAAGGCAAAATATCTTTGGTATCGGTCACTGGGAAGGAGGGGTTTCAGCAGGGAGCCTGCATGCCAGAGCCTTTACAGAAACCCCAGATGTGTGAGAAATTTCATTTTAAGCTCGTACTTTGTTTAGCAACGTATCAATCATGCAGAAGATGCTGCTCTGCAGAAAGCAGGCTTTGCTGGTTGGGGCAGTCGTAAGGTATTTGCTCAGTCCGTGTCTGGATAACTTCTGGTAGAATTGGGAAACTGGGAGGTTGCGGAGTGACTCTGCAAGGCCGCACTTGCTGTGAGTTATGTTGAAAATGCACAAAGGCGAATATTGAACATGTGTTCTGCGAGCCGATAAATCAGATCCCGACTTGGGAGCGAACTCGGGTGCGGTATGAGGATGCAGGTGATGTCGGGAATTCACGGGAACTTCAGCTGCATCACTCTGAGTGTGATGCTCTGGAAATGCGCAGGTTTAATTTTTTTTTTTTTTTTTTTTTTTAGATATGTAGATGGAAATTAGATGGGAGGGGGAAGACAGCATCCTCCAGTTTGAATTACCTTAATGGCTCTGGCTGCCTTAGCTCTGCTGAAGGCTGATTGCCTTGCTTCGCTGCTTGCGTGTCCAAAGCGGAAGGCAGAGCCCGGGTTAGAACTGCAGCTGCGGCTGGGAGATGGCTACGCGAGGTCGGTGGCACCGCGGGGGCACTTAGACCCGTGCTCCCAGTGCTTCCCCGACCCTGGGACTCAGGATGGGTGCTCAGGAGAGCTGTGTCCCTACCAGTCCCTGCCTTTGTGGCAAAAATACCAGCTTTTTGCATCTGGCAGAATACTCGGTTTTAGGAGCATAGCTTTGGGAGTATTTAGTTGATTTGCAAGAAGTTAATTTTTATTCCATGTTTAATTTTTTTTTATCCCACTCTTCCAAGCCCTTCAAGGAATATGGCCTTATATTGGGAAGGTAGCCTGCATTAATACAAGGGCTAACTCCTCCACTACCATCCAGCAGCCATCCAGCTTCTGCTGGAGATCGAATGTCTGGAAGGTTTAATTTCCTTACCTCGGAATGAATTCTTCAAATTGTGAGTCCATCTCTTGCCTGCATAGCCTTATTTTATCTGAAACACAGCAATTCTTTTCGTAATTACACCCTGGTGAACCGACCACTTTCCTACATCAAGTTTGGACCAAGAAGGCCGTGTTGCACGCTTAGCCCCTTAAAATCTGTTTAAGAAAATAAGCAAGAAAGTGGCATTTCTTGTTGAGACAAGACTCTGAAGTGCAGCTGCCACCTCCATGGGCTGGCTGGGCGCTGCAGGAATATCACAGGGCTGTCCTTGGGGCATTAAAATAGTTTCCACAACAGCTGATTGAGGTACCAAGCCCTGACTTTGAACGCGCCCAGAGACAGAAATTGAGCAAGTGCTGCTTTGTAACCCAACAGACCCACTCAAATATCTTCATGGATTTTGGGGAAGGGAGAATGTTAGTGGTTCTATGTAGTTTTTTCTAATATCAATGAAATGTTGTCTTGACAGCAGCAAACCCAGGAATATTGATTCTAACCCCAGTTTAGTCCTTCCTTCTCTCTAATTCGTGAGGAGAGAGCTTACTGTCGGTACCTCTGCTGCCTGTTAGCGGGAACTGTTCTTACAAGGGGAAAAAAATAGCGGTATGCATTGATGTAATTTGTGAGGAAAAGCACGAGACGTGAGAGATGGGAAACGCAGCCCGTGGTGGTCTGCTTGCTTCGAGTGCCCTGGGAGCCCTGAAACCACAGAAGGCTCCCGCGGACGTAATCTCTTATGCAGCACTCTTTTCCGAAATCCTGATTTTTATTTTTTTTCCCCTGTATCTGTGGGTATTGTGGTACGAGCGCAAGCACAGACTAATAGAATAATGATATTCTGGCTACTTTGTCCTGGGAAGATGCATTAATTCCTGTCCAGTCACCTCTGCAGTCCTGGGCACAGACGTCTCCTGGTTCTCACAACGCAGGGACTGCTGAAGATACTTGTAATTAGAGCAAATTGGAGATGCTCTGAGCCAGCAGCGAGGTGCCATTTCTTTAAGAGCTTTTTATTTCATATTAGCTGAGGTCTCCCGCGCTATCCCTGTGAGAGCCGGCGCGGTTACCGTTGACCTGAAAAGCCACAGAGCCTATAAATGTTTCACACTTTAACTGAATCCTGATTGCGTAGCGCTTTAAATATATATACTGTCCAGTTCCCCAAAGCCTGCAAGTGTCCTGGCCGGGGCAGGAGGGTGAACCTGGCGTTTGGAGCTGGATTTTTTTAGTTACGTGTGCTATTTTACTGTGCAAACTTACCGTGATCTGGCACGTGGGTGCAGCAGGGATGAAATGCTGGATGGGTTCAGAGATGCTAAAAGCATACCTGTAACCTCGCTATACGCTTTCCTGTAGTGTCCTCTGCGATGCTGGTTGGGACGAGGTCTGTGTAACTTGTCAGGCTGGTGCTTTTATTTCTTTTTTTGTGTCTCCTTAGGAAAGGACTGCCTGCTGTGGCTCACAAGTGAGCTGGGACTCGGCTTGGAGCTTGATGGGGAAATAGTGGCCCCTCTTTCAACTTCCTCGAGGTGTCGGGTGTGAAGTTGCTTTATTTCGTGTGGCCCAGGAGGCAGAGCAGGCAATTGTTACATCTGTAGTTTTAATTCTTGTACGTGTTTCATAGAGAACGGACTAATTAGCAGAGTTACGGGAGGAGCAGACTGACATTTGGTAGGGTAGATTCTTCCTGGCATCGTTAGTGCTAGTTATTGAAGAGATCCTGTGTGGAATAGTTCAATAAATAGGATGAAACACAAAAGTAAATGATATGGGATGAATGATTCCTTACTACCTCCTTTTTCTGGAGGATGCAGTTATGAACAGAGAAGCAATTAAGGCCGTTGGCATCGTCTCTGGGGTTTATCACATCAAATCAACAGCGTAGCACTGCATGGTGTATGTTTTAATGCAACAGAGATCAGTCTGAGTGTGTCTGACTCGTCATGTCAGACATGACATGCAAAGGCTGAGCCCTGGCTTGGGGAAGGAGCTTTCCTTCCCCACAAGGCTGTTAATTCAAAAATCTTGAAGTCACTTGTGGCTGCCAGACTTATGTCCACGCGGGCATGAGCATTTTAAATTCTGTCCCTTCTTGCAAATATAGCCACTGTCACAAGAGACCTGAGAGCCAGCAGCCCTTTTAATGATGCTTGGGAGTGCTCAAGGGCAATATCAAATGTATACGGTGTAGTCTCCGTTGCATAATTTTTGCATGACAAACATTTTAACGCCAGGAGGACTTGGGCCGCAACGAAGCGACTGGAAGCTGGAGAAGCGGCTCGGAGCTCAGTCCCTTGTAAGACCAAGCGCAAATGGAGGTGCAGGAAAGGGATGGGATTGAGTAGCTGAAAATGTGCTGCATGGGGGAGCTGAACTTCATCTTTCCTGGCACCTGGGTCCTTGGTGGCTGCTCTGCAATGAAGATTTTGAAAAAAGATTGCTAATTCTCACTCAGTGATGGGAGTCTGAAAGCCATTTACAAGATTAAGGACTAGAAAGTTGGTAACTTGAACTTCTGTAAGCTTGGGAAACTTGAGAAAATCTTGCTCATGGGGCTGAAACGGGCAAGGACGGCGCGAGGAAGAATTTAGCCGTTCATCTGTAGCCTTAATAAGAGGCTGACCTTTCCATCATGTTCACAATTCTGTCACTGTATTTGGAGGCATCTCAGTTTAAATGCTACATCAATGTCTGGGAACTGCGGAAGTCAATGGTGTGTCTCAAAATCGCGTACGAGTTATTTAGAGGAGGTGAGGGGAAAGAACATGAATCAGCAGCTTGGAATATCAGCTGAGCTAAAGCAGAAAGGGCAGTGACCGAGTGAGGGTCCCTGTCCCTGCAGAGCACCCTGGCCCCGTCCCCGAAGCCACCGGGCAGCGGCAGATGTAGAAACCCACCCGAGAAGCTTTGCAGAAGAACCAGTGACTCATGCTTCCCTGACTTCGTGCAGGGCTCAAGGCATCAAAGCGCACGCAAGCAAATGCCCTCCTAGGAAATCTGCCTGTGGCTTCATGTGCGAGCTCCCTGGAAAGGGCCTCGTGATGCGGAATTAGGAGTCCTAAAAACCTCTGGGGTCCTGCCGTTGGCTGCTGCCTGGGGACATGTGTTCTTCCCAAGACCAAATGTGGCTAAAATACCGGTCTGAACTATGTTCTGTCATAGTAAAACACATCTACGAACAGCTATATCCCTTTTCTGTAGCAAACCTGAAATTTAGCCTGCTCAGACCTTTGGCAGGAAAATCGAGCATGAATTTGTGATGGCAGGCGCTCGTAAGGATCTCTCGGTGAAACGGTGGGGCCTGCAGATTTATGTGACCTTTGCTCGCTGGCAGGGAGCAAACCTGGTGGTGATGGCTGTCTCAATTATGGGTCTCTTTTGGAACATATAAGCATTACCTTGGAGATCATAGCTGGCAGGGAACACAAGCTGCTGGATCTTCAAGCCCATTTATCAGTCTGCTTGCCATTTGTATCTCCAGGTGGAGGAAATTGTTAACCACACTGCTCGAAGGCTCTAGTGCTTTTGTTAACTCTGTATTGCTGGGCTCAGTAAAAGATTAATATGGAAATGGAGGAGCGGTACTGGTCTGGTCTGCTTCAGCAATCTTCTCTTCCGCACCAGCCCTGTTTGGGGTTTGTGGTTTGGTGTTTTTTTTAGCTTGTGGTTTTGATCCATGGTCGGTTGGTTTAAACCGACCCAGAGCCGAGGAGTGAATCGGCTTCTTGGGTTCAGTGGGGGGCGTAGATTCACTGGGGTTACCTGAATCTAGTTAAACAGAATCTGGTCCTTAAACAAGGCTGGGATATCATCCGTTTTACTCTCAGCAGCTCATAATCCTCTGCTAACCATATGACAGAATTAGCCAGCAAACACCGTACGTTTGTAGGATTTCAATTTTCTCCTTGGCAAAGCAGCAAGTCGGAGCTGACCTCTTGCTTCATATCTTTCTAAATGTCTCTCGGTGCCTGTTGTTCAGAAGAGAGCTTCCCTCTCCTTTGTCTTCACAGATCCGTCTGGGTTTATTTTTGATGTGCAGTCCAATACTGTGATGGCCCAAGGAGGAACCTTTGAAAACATGAAGGAGAAGGTAAATGTGTCTTCGGAGACTTTAACTCACCACGTGCCGTGGAAGAGCTCCTGAACGCTGTATCTTCATCTCCTCTCTGAGATGAAATATGTTTCTGTCTGGGAGCTAACTGCAGCTCTGTCAAAAGCAAAATTTTATTCAGCCTAATCGTCCTGGCACATTAAAGTTTTATAAGGAAGTCATCATTTATGGTTTTCAGGCTCCGTGTGGGCTAAAGCAAATGCTTTACACATTACCCTGTTTTCTTCCCTCTAGATCAGCGCGGTGCGTGCGATAGTCCCCAACAGGAGCAACAACGAGATCGTCCTTGTGCTGCAGCATTTTGACAACTGCGTGGACAAAACGGTGCAAGCCTTTATGGAAGGTAACTCTTGGCGGGGTTGGTGGCTTTGTAACTCGTACGTACCCTGTTCGTGGACCTACTTCAGAAGCAGCAACAGCGTTTGTGCAGAAAGGGCTTGTGTTGCTTCCCAGAACATCCAAGTACAGACTCTGTCCACAAATATAACTAAGGGATGATTCTCTTCCTAGATTTTAGTTGGTGTTTGTTCAACTCGGGGTCAAGGCAGAGATAAGCATTTGATAGCTCTTTAGATACTGCAGGTTAGATACTCAATTACAGAAACTCTTGTTCATGTGTACAAAATGGGAATGTCTTCAGCTTCAAGAGTTGCTGTTTGTACTTTGAAACCTGGCTCACAAATCTTCTCGTGGGTCTGGCTGGCATGCTGCATCAGATGGATTTTCTGACCTTGGAAAAACAGGCTGTTGCTGGTGACAATGCCTGTCGCTTTGCAACTCTTATTTCCACGCTGGCCATCGCTGACAACCGCGCTTTGCCTCCGGCCTGCAGACGGTATGACAGCTATTCCTCCGACTGTGGGCATCCTGACACAGCCCCTGTCTCTGGGGAGAGAAGGCCAGCAGATATCTGACCTGAACGCAACCTTTGAGTTCAGAACATGCTCCAGCAGGGTTCGAGGTACCTAAACCTTTAGTATGACAGAGCCAAAGAGAAGATTTTTTTTTTTTCCTTGTTTCTTTTTCCTGGGAAGAGCTGGCACTGTGTTGTAAGGGAGTAGTCCCGTTCAGCAGCGCGTTCCCAAAGCAAAAATGAAACCCATCCTTTTATGACATCAACTTAGATAATTGAAACTTAGCCGCAGGAAGCATTACAGCTGGCTCCAGGTATGGAGGCGCTTCCACGTGACCGGGACAGAATTGAAGTGGATGCCTTGCCCGCTGCTCATCGCTGTGTTTCATTTCAGGCAATGCCAGTGAAGTACTGAAAGAATGGACTGTAACAGGCAAAAAAAAGGTAACACTTTTAAAATATACTTTGCTAAGGCATTTATCTTTTAATTTTGAGGATTTAGACTACAGAGAACAGTAGGCATTCCCCGTGATTTAGACGGGAAAAGAAACCAAAGACCAAGCGTGTGTATTGATGTTAGCAGAAGTGATGCACGGAGATAATCACCAGGTTATCGGGTGCCTCGCTGTTTAGGGGAATGATTTACACCTTAACTTCAGTGCAAGTCGTAAACATTATCTTCTCGCCGCATTTGCATTTAATTTAGGAGTCAGGCACATTGTGTCGAGTGTAGCATGTGAAAAAACGGTTCTAGACTTTCTGTCCTTGCAGTCGCTTTTATTCTGCTGACCCTCTGCAGGACCCCTAATCCGCACACGCAGTCCCACACTGAAGTAAATCTTCATCAGGTCCATTTATTTCAACGGAGCTCTGTAATTCACTGTTCAGATAGTCATGCCGTTCCATTTTTCATCGGTAACCTTTGGAGCTGAACAGTTGCGTTTAATGCTGAGCTCTGTGGAAACATATTTTTCTTTGTCATGTAAGCTTTCTCGAGTGTTTTCCCTAGTTCTTTGCTCACACCTCTGTGAAAGGGTTAAATAAAGATTTGCAAAGTTTCAGTACTTGATATTATAATATCTAAATCCACCAGGGCAAGAATAAAATCATAATTATTCAAAAGGACTCCTTTGAATATGTGAAAAGCACCGGCATGAAATGGAGAGGAAAAAATGTGACTGAATAACCCTGTGTTGGGAAATGAGGGAAGTTTTATCAGAGCAAGGTCTAGCGAAGCGCTTGGCTGCCGCAGAGCACCCTGGAAGCTGTACCTCGCCAGTGAGCCCCCCCAGAAGCCGCCCAGCCGGTGCTGTGGGTTCCAGCCACAAACCTCTTTGGTGTTTCCCATCAGTTATGTCGCCTTCAGCTGATAAGCAGCACCCGTTGCTCTTGTTGGCACACCGTCGGAGAGGATAATGTATTCGCGCCTCATTAGTGCCACTATATCTGTCCTCATTGTTGAATAAATCCCTCCTACTGTTAATAGGATCAACAGCCAGGCTGGCTGAAAAAGCATTTAATTCAGCTACTTTCAGCCAGTGAGCATAAACTTAATTTTCCCTTCAGGAATTAAGCTTAACATTTCTTTCTTTTTTTTTTTCTTTTCTACCCCCCCATCCCACAAATGGACACCTAATCCTTAGAACAAGAAGAAGAAAACCAAACCGAAACCACAAACTGAATTGAGTGCTGGCCTCCCAGACCCCAGTAAATTGGTGTCCACTGAAGAGGAGCAGTTGGCAAACTCGGAGAAGGGTGGAATTAACGGTTTCCATGTCAACGGCTGTGCCCACGACACAGAGTCTGTGGACTCGCTCAGCGAAGGTTTGGATGCACTTTCAATTGATGCCAGAGAGCTGGAGGATTGCGAGTCTGCTGCACCAGACATGCCTGATAGAACAGGTTAGTCTCTATAAAGTAGCGCAGGAGACGGGCACCGAGTGTTTACGAAGCAGAGGAGCTGCCTCCTGCTTTTTTGTGTTCCTTCTTTGTTTCGGGTCAGCTTTGAACACTGATATGTTTGGATGGCTCTTCAGGAAAGAGCAGCTCACCTTGATTTTCTGATTTTCTTTCTTTTTTTTTTTCTTTTTTGCTTGTCGTGGTAAAGAGGCGGTCAGTGTTCCGCTGTCCTCTCCGCGTTCCCCTTTAAACAAGTGTGCTTTTCTACAGCAGTGCCTGAACTAGAGAATGGAATAGCAGACTTTGACACAAAATCGCTCATCCTGCATCCTTCCCAGAGCCCTTCGTCTCTTAGACAGCGGCCTGAGCAGAGGAGCGCTAGCAGGTCTCTGTCCAGATCAACAGCGAACAATTCGACTCCTGCATCCCTGTCTGTAACGCGGCTGGAAGATGTTCCAGTTTCACCTGCAAACAAGAAGTTAGGTAAGGCCCTGAGGGTCTGCGCGCTCTCCCGTGTCAGAGCAGGTTGCTGCTGGCCAAGTTCTCACCTCCTCTTCTGCTGTGTCACTGACAGACGTGGTGCTGAGGCATACTGGACTTTGATTTTAATGCGAGCTAACGTGCTTCTTATTATCTGGCCAGTAACTCTCACTCTACTCCTCTTCTTCCTGATGTGCGGCAGGAATCTTGACAGCAGTTTAGATGTAGGCGCCTGGAGCAGCAAACCCACATGTGCGAGAGGAGCAGGGGAGGAAGCAGCCAGTCTCGCTGCATACGTTTAGCCCATTCTTCTCTGTGCTCCGTCACAGAGCCTTTAGGTTGTTTCTCATCTCATCCCTTCTTTTTTTTTTTTTTTTTTTGTGAGAATTTGTCGAAAGGCCAGAAGTTCGGACCAGCCCTGTTACAAGAAGTGACAGCCTCCTTCTACTGGATTTTTTTTTCTTTTTTGTGCGCTTTCTCCGCAGCTGAGTTCTTACAATAATGAGTGCGGACAGGAGAGACCTCAGAGCCCCCAGTTGGGCTGGTGGTGGTTATGCTCAGCTTAGGGAGGTGAGGTGGTGGTAGTTCACCTCCTTGCTCCAGGGAGGAGCAGTTGTTAACATAGCTTGGCAGGGGGCAACTGCACCCCAGCAAGCTCCAGAGAGCGTGGGCAAGGTGACGGACCCTGTGGGCGAGCTGAGACACAGGGACTAACCTTGGCAGCGATTAACCACCCCTTTCATCTCCTGATTTGAGGAAATAGCCTTAATTTTAGTTTCCGAGATAATTCCCTTCCCCAGGCAAATGTCCATTTTGTATCATTTAGTGATATGGTGTGTTGGTCTTTGGAGTAGACTCGTTTCGCTTGTCTCCAGTCCCTAGCACAAAAGCAACTCAAGAAATGCATTTGATTTCTCTCATGTATTTGAAAATGTGGAGGGACATCCTCCTATAGAAGGAAATTCTACGAGCCTTGGGAAAACTTTCCCCATTAAGAAAATCTCTCAAACTGTCCCTGCTGAACCTAGTGCCTTTGTAATGGGGAAGGGAAAGAAAAATTTAAAACCAAGCAGTGTATAGTTTTAAAGTAAGAGGGAAAGCAGTCTTTAGATTTATCCCTGCTGGGAGGATTTAGCAGTGTGATTGACATGGCTGTTTGAGTTCACTCTGTCTCTTGGTAGGTTCTAATATTGAAAAATCAGTGAAGGATCTCCAGCGCTGCACCGTTTCACTGGCTCGGTACCGGGTTGTGGTGAAGGAGGAAATGGATGCTTCCATTAAGAAGATGAAGCAGGTCTTTGCTGAGCTGCAGAGTAGGTAAGTTAAACGTAGTGACAGATCCAGGTGCTAAGGCGTAAGACTGATACATTTAGAATAAGACTTCGAGGTCTTTGGACTGTGGCTCTGTGTCTGTACAAGACAGTTGTCCTGACCATCATAAAGTCATTTCAGATGCAGATAATACGAGGAACCGGACAGGTAACATACTGTCAGGTAGGTACTAACATTAGCTGTGCTGGAAGGAGAACGGTTGGGACCTCAGGGTGCAGTAGTGTGTGTCTTTTAGAAGCAAACATTCCTATGTGAAATGTTCAAATTACGTTTGAATATAACATGGAAGAGAGGGATCCTTTTGAAGGTACAAGTACACATCAAAGGTCACCCTGTGCAGCAGCGCTTCCCCTGGTTTAAGCCAAGCTTTTAGTACTGTGCATGATGTTCCCTGTGAGTGTAATTTGGTCTCTCTTTTTTTTTTTTTAAATGAACATCTTTATTGGTTTGGATAAGTGCTCTAAGATGATATTCTGAAAGGCCTAACATAGAGTACACTCGCTGTCTTGGCTGATCGAATCTATTACCGAGAAATCGTTGTTCTTGGTTATACAAATACAATTGCTTTTGGTAAAGAAATATTCATAAGAAGCTGCACAGAGAGTTCTCCTTGCCTGAAGCGAGTAACATTTGACAACTAACTAAAATGCCGCTATTGCATTGAAGGATTAAAGTAGATATTTGGCAGACTTGCAAATCTGTGTCAAAAGCTGTCTATGTCTGAAAACCGTATGTGGCCTCAAAGGCAAGAGTGTTTAGCGGTAGTGATGTAGAGCACTGTATTCTGAAGCCTTTTAGCAAATTTAGTCGTTCAGTGTGGACTTTTTCTTGTGCTCGTCCTTGTGTTGAACTTTGCTACCAGGAGGTGCTCTCCTGAAGTACGTGGAACGCTCTCCTGTATTTAAATTCATCGCGTGCTAAAAATACTGACAAAAATGTTTATAAATTACTTTTAAACTTGCCCCAGGAGACTAGACTGAACTGGAGGGGTAGGGTTAAAGGTGTCCGCAGGCTCTGACCTACGTTTTCCTGCTAACAATTGTGGTCTCTGAGCCAAAGCTGAACGTGGAGCTCCCAGCACCTCCTGTCTTTTGGAAAAGCTGCAGTGTAAGGGGATTTACCCTGTCAATAGGTGAGGGATTTGTAGCCCTAACTCAAGTTTGTTTTCATGAATATTATTTCTTACGTTGTTAGTGGCTTTGTCTACTGAGTCAATACTGATACTGATTCAATATTATGACTGTATACAGTGGGGTTTTGTTGTTAAGTGGTTTTTGTGTGTGTGTGTCTGCCTCTCTACGCAGTTACAACATCTGTAAAAACCTCTCCCTGGTATGGAACCTGTCATTCTTTTGGCTAACGTATCTGGTTCCGTATAAGTAATTCCTCGCCCTTTGACTTATGTTATCATCTATAAAACACTTGCGTCATGTTCAGAAAGGTTAAAGACTCAAGTCCAGTCCCGCAGCATTGCTCCGATAAGCCGAGCCGGCAGCGGGTGAAGCAGGACGTGCGGTTCCGTGAGCGGGGAGGCGAGTGCCTCCCTGGAACGGGGCCACCAGGAACCTCCTTTGGCAAATGCCAAGTGAAAGAGCTGCCCAGCAGGATGCCGGCTCTCCACAGCTGATAAGCGATGACTCTGCAACCAGGGCCCTTTGGCTCCACAGAATGAGATTCACTTTCCTTTTCCCGAAAGTGATGCAGTTGCTGGTGAGCTGAGGTGTAAATTGTACCTTTGCTTTTTTTTGGGGGTTGTTTTTTTTTTTTTGTTTTTCCAATTCCTTTCATAACCTGGAGAATAATTAGTGTATTTTAAAGTCCTACAGCACAAGGCAGGATCTGATAGTTAAATCCTCTTGCTGAATTGCTTCTCCAGCTGGCTTTCCACCAAAGGAAAACCTGGTTTTAAAAGCAAGTTTGTTCAACTGAAACAGGATATTTAAGTAGCAAAGCTTGGACTGGTTTAACTGCTGCCTGTCAGGGCTGCCCTTCGGATGTCCTTTTAACCAGTGAGGCTTCCTACAGTTCTTGACCTCCATCTTCTCTCACTAGATAACGTGCTTAGGCGAGACCTCTGGTCTGTAGGTAGGCGAGGGTGAGGAGGAGACTCTAATGCCGGGGTCGTGCCTGGCATATATCTTAATCTCTGAAATCCATCCTGTTTGAGTGGCAAATGTAGCAGTAGCTGCTTTGGCCTCCTATTTTGAGAGGATTTGCTCCTCTGTGCTGGAGATAATCAGTTAACCTGAACTAGAGAATCCTGATAGTCCTTAATTTCCTGAATATTTTGCTATCCACTGGCAGGGAAAGTAATGCATCAGGAGAAAAAAAAAAAAAACAAACCCAACAAATCCCTGAGCCTTTGTGAGTGGCGCGGTTAAGTTCAACTTCGTCACCACGTGTTTCAGGTTTCTCATTGCCGAGATTGCTGCTGTGGATCGCCCTTGCTTCCTCGTGGCAGAGCTGCTGGGCATGCTTCCAGCCACCCTCGATTGCAGTCAGTCTTTGACATGGTTGTGTTTCGGCCCCAAGGAAAACTGACCCCAAAGCCCTCAGCGTGCTTGTGCAAACAACCGTTGTCTTTCACGGACGGACAACATCTTGCAGGCACTGCTCGACTGGGCTGGCTTGCAGCTGAGAGCCTCCCAACCAAGTATCCAGCATTATTTCATCTTCAGCAGTCACTGGTTTGTTTCCCCTTTTTCTCCCCTGTGCACTTCTTAAATGTCCTTTCCTAAAGCCCAGCCCTTCTGGCAGGGATAGATGCGCTCTCCATCCCACATGGGATCTTGTCCCAGGACAGAGCAGTTGAGAAAAGCAAACATGTTTCCGAGTGGATCCTTCGGAAGGGAGTAAGTTTGTTTGACGAGAAGCCGTGCAGGGTGGAGGAGCAATGGGGTCTGATCCCAGTCACTCATCAACACGAACCTCGGGCAAAGCCACTTGACCTCTGTTCCTCAGCCAGCCCAACTGTAAAATTGGGTAAAGGACTCCAGCTGAGCTCTGCTGAGTAAATTAAATTGCAGAGGCACGCAAGCTCTGATCTGTGCCAAGGTGTGTGCCTGCAGCCTGGCGGAAAGAGCCCAAAATGGCCCATGTATAAGGTGGGTGTTGGCTCTGCAGGAGCTGGGCGTGTGCCTGTGTGTTCAGGGAGGAGGCACTGGGGTAAGGTGTAGCACAGCCGAGTTCTGCAGCCGTGAGGCTGTTTCTGCGCTTTAATTAATCATTAAGGCCGCATTCACAACCGTATCTCTCCGAGCTCCGGGGGATTCCTGCCGCTGACGTGGCTCTGGGCAGAAGGCACCTGGGGTTTCTCCCTTTACCCTGCCCGTCGGTGCTGCAGAGCCAGGTTGAACTGCTCTGGGGATAGCTGGAAACAAGGTGAAGTCTTATTAGCGTAGCTTTTGACACCCGTTGTTGTATTTGCGCAGTTGGGCTGAGAGTGCCTGACCTGGATCAGGCCCCTGCTGTGCTACGAGCAGAAACAATTCCTGCCCTGAAAAGGCAGATGGACAGAGCGATAAATCAACAGAAGAAGCCAAATGTCAAAGCTGCTGTTCAGAGGGAATTGTTTAAATTGATCTTGCCTCAGTCCTCTCTGACATGCAGAGGAGCGGGGAGCGGTGGTTTGAGTTTGCATTTCAGATGCTCTGTGGTTTCCCTTTCAGATGGTCGCTAAAATAAATGTTCTTCCCATTTTCAAGCAAACCTTTCTCACTAAAAAACCCCACGTGTGATCGGTGTCGAAGGCCTCACCCTGCGCGCTGCTGGTATCTCTCCGAGTACCATTTCATGTCTGTGCTGCGAGTATCATACAGCTAACACGTGAGAGGAGGACTCTGCTTTTAAATATAGAAAGCAGAAACTGAAATGAACCCTATTAATAGCTGGATGGCAAATGCATTCAAGCCGCTGGCAGCAGCTGAGCAGAGGTGAGCTTCAGCAGTGCAGGGCTGAGGACGTTGGAGGCGTAGCTTAGAGGGAAACACAAAAGAAGCATTTGCTGGGAGGCTGTTTGTGCAAGGGTCTGGCTTCCTTAAGGCAAAGAACAGAGCTGCGACCAGTAGCTGCCCCTGTCCAGAACGGGAGGACTGGTATTTCCTCTCCTGCTTCTCTTGAAACCCAAATTATTCGGCGCGTGCATCTCCAGGGGCAAGATGCCTCTTCGCATGGCCTGTGAGCGGTGGTTAATGGGGAGCTCCCCGGGTGCCCTGCCTCACCAGAGGGTGCTCGATAGCCTGAATTTGCTAAATCTGACCAGGCAGTAGCTGTGCGTTCTGCTCGCGTAAAGGCTGCAGCCGTGATGCCTGGGGGATTTGTGGTCTCATGGCAACAGACACACTCGAGGCACGCTCGAGCCTTCTGGCGAGTGGAGATGCTTTGCTGTGACCCACTCAGGTGTTCCCTCCGTGGCGAAAAAAAAAATCCTCGGATTGCAAGAGACTCAGTGATCGCAGACTTGCATGGCTCCGGGTCACCTGCCGGCTGCGCGGTGGTGACCGGCAGGATGCATCCTCGTACCTGCCGCACTGTGTGGAAGGGTCCATACGCTCTCGTGTGGGTCCTGCAGCCCTGTGGGGATCAGCAGGGTACGCACCTCCCGAGAAGCAGCACAGAGCACCAGAATCCAGGTTTCTGGGTTGGTGGGCTGGTTTTGGTCGGCTTAAATAAGCTAATGGGGGGAGGGTAAGAGTGAAGCATTGCTTCACCACATGGCACCTGAGAGACAGCTTTGGATGTGACGGGTGCCCGAATGCCCAACGTCCTCCTGCTGCTGCTGTGGCTCCTCGTCATGCCCCACCGCTCGTTACTTTTGAGTGACTCTTTTAAACATTTAGTTTGCTTCGGTGGTAAAGTCCAGCGGTGTGCAGCTTCCCCCAGCACCGCAACCGCCATTCCCTCTCCCCTTGCCAAGGTGGCTCTGACTTTTATCAGAGCAAGGTGACCACGTACCCAGTGGGTTGTCGGGAATGCCGCGGCCGTGCTCCGGCGCTGACCCAAGCCTGAGCAAGTTTAACGCCAGCAAAGCCCGCACGCAACTCCTCGGCTTCCAGAACAAAAGCCGGTGCGCGGTGCGACGGGTTCCTGCTGCCATCTGCCGGTCTCTGCTCAGTGGCCAGCATGCCTGGAAACCCTCCCGCTGCTGTTCTTGCAGTAAGATTATTTTGTCCTCTTTGTTTAATACTAAATCTCTTCCCTTTTTCTGTTGTTTTCCCCCTCCAGCCTTATGGATCGGGAGGTGGCGTTGCTGGCTGAGATGGACAAAGTGAAAGCAGAAGCAAGTAAGACTCTGTCTTTCTAGCAACGAGTGCCGGCTCAAAGAGCTGCAGGTCTTGCTGCGCTCTGACGAGAAGCAGATTTCTGTGATTCACCTCCTGTTCATGTCATTCCTAGATCTGTGGCTCTGTACCCGGACAAAACTTGCCCTGTGGCTTGAGTTTTGTGTACCGTGACTGGATGATTTTTGCTGCCTGACGCAGTTGACACTAAACCATCCTGCGCCCTTGTTAGAGGACATAAACTGCCCTCTTCCATGGGAGGCTGTTCCTAAAAATCTCATTATTGCTGGGGAGCTGGAAAGGGATTTCCTGGCTCACCTGGAGCGGGTGGGAGGTGATCTGCAGGGACACCCACGCCAGCAGCACCAAACCCCACCGTTTAGGGGGGTGGCAAGGAAGCAGTTAGCCTGGGGAGAGCTGCAAAGCTTCTACCAGAGCTGCGTGTTGTGGCCCTGGTTGAGTCAGCTCCCAGCTCAGGTTCCGTCTGTGTCTGGGGATGTAAATCTCCGCAGGAGGGAACGGCCGGGGCTGCTGTGCAGCTGGCACAGAGCTGTCTGGGGGGCACTTGGGGGAACCTGCTGTTTACCAATAAGGTGCTGTGTGTCGGGATTGGGGTGGTTTAACTCTGGGTAGGCTGGTTTGGTGTCACCGCCGCCTCAGCCGTGATCTGTTTTTCAGTGGAAATTCTGGTCAGCCGCCAGAAGAAGGCAGAAGCCCTGAAGAAGATGACTGATGTGGCGGTGCGAATGTCGGAGGAGCAGCTGGTCGAGCTCAGAGCTGACATAAAGGTGAGCTTTTCACTCCGCTGCCATCTAATCCAACCTAGTCCTAACGTCACCCAAATGCGGCGGTGCAGGAATTATGCAGCTACCACCTAGTCCGTGGTAGGAATTGCACGGATGCCCCTCAACAGGTTCCTGCTCAAAGACGACGAGTTGCTGATCTGCTAATTAAATAAGCAGTTTGTTTATCCGACGTGCAGAGCGGCTCGAGCTTGTACCTCTGAGGAGGGACCCCTACCCCAGATCACACACCCTGATTAAACCCGTACCACCCAGCACCCAACCCCAGTCCAATCCCTTAATTCTGGTCGGTGGTCTCTTGGTTTCTTACTGGTTTTCTTGGTCGCTGAGCTGGCCACCTTCTGAAGTGACCTCATTCTCTTGGCATTGTTTCCCTGGTCCTTATCCTCTTCATTCTGCTCATACCTGCTGGATTCAGTGAGGTCTGTGTTTGCAGCATTAGTTTTCTCAGAAAGTTTATTCCCAGACAGCTCTTGCGGCCTAAGGCTTCGGCTCCTTTAGCTTCCAGTACTAAGCAAGGCTGTTATTAATCCCAACGCTTCTCTACAGCAGCGTGCTTTTTGGTAACCTCCTGGGTTTCCGAGACTTCTGAATGCAATTTTGTGTTGTTTGCAAGTCTTTCCTTGCATTTGTAGTTCTCGAATTCACCGCCAGCGCTCTGCATACCGCTGTCCGCAGCTGCGCGGAGAGATACAGGACACCTGAACTTAAAATATTTGGTTTGTAAAATACTGACTCCAGCCAACAACCAGTCATCCAAACACGAACCCCGGTTGTGAATTGGCAGAGAGCAGGGAACGCAGCAAAGCCGCAGCTTTGTGCTCGGAGCGGTTGTGAAAACCTCCCGCTGGCTTGGGCTGACCTCTGCCTTCCCCCCTAAACCGGGAGAGCCTGTCTGCTGCGCGCCAGCAACTCTTATATTCCCTAAAAACATTTCTGCTCTCCAGCACGCCAGCTCCTGCCACAAGAGGTCAGTGCAAAGTTGCATCAATTATATTCCCGTTTAAAAACTAAAACTGCTCAGCCCCCCGTAGCAGGGTTAGAGAAACCTGTTGCCCCGACGAGTGTCCAGAGACCTGGGCTGTGCTGATCTCACAGGGCAGAGCAGAGCTGTTGTTGGACTGAGGTCACCTCTGGCGTGGCTGCTGGAGCCTGGGGAAGGCTGAAATAATCTGGGTTTCTGTTTCCCTGAGTTGTCGTAGCCATCTGCCTTCTCACCAGGATTTTTTTTTTTTCAAGCAGCACCCGACTCGGATACCTGTTCCTGGACTGAAATGACAGGCTTTCACCTCTGTTTTCCGTTCCTGTGCACAGACCGAATTAACGTGCGTGTTTTGCCTTTTTTCTGAAGCACTTTGTGAGCGAACGGAAGTACGACGAGGACCTGGGCCGGGTGGCGCGGTTCACGTGTGACCTTGAGGCGCTGAAGAAGAGCATCGCCTCGTTCGGCCAAGGTGAGCTGGACGGAGAGCTGGCTAACCCTGCCGTCACCAAAACCCCTCATGTGCGCCCCAAAACTTGATAGTGGTGGGACTGGGAGCATTTTTTTTTCGTCCCTCGGCAAGAGGGATCTGTGCCCATTCGCTGCTGAGCTCTTGTACCGTTTACGCGACCAAAGCTTCATCCCACCAGAACAAAGCTCCTTTGTCCCTTTGAGCTGCCTCCACCCCAGCAGTGCTCTGGGTGAAAGATCTGGGGTCCTGCCTGCAGAACACACATTTTTGGGGTATTTCTCTTCCAGTTTCCCATCCAAAGAACAGCTACTCCACCCGATCGCGGTGCAGCTCTGTCACAGCCGCG